TGGCTGGGGAATTCTGGGAGTTGAAGTCCACTCATCTTAAAGTGGCCAAGTTTGGACAACACTGGTTTAATCCTCTGCATAACTGTGCTGACTCCAACTTCTGAAGGATTAGTGGCCTGAGTCAGTTAACTGCTTTCTGCAGAGGCGCTGGGTCTAGTGAGAAACAACTTTTGCTGTGTATTACAATGACCCGGGGAAGACAGGCAGAGGAAGCGTGATGCACCGAGCATGTGATTTACTGTTTTCTAAGCTTTACTTCCGAGCATGAATCTTTATCATATCCAAGATGGACAACAAGATTTGCAGCAATTACAGGAACCAGCTGTTCCACTCCGGAGCTGGCAAGGTTCCCAGAGAAAACTGGAAACTGAACATGATTCAACAAAGCACAGATTAAAACGCTCTTGTGAAACCCTAAACATGGGCTAATGAAATAGCATGGCTGGGTTTGCAGCAAATGCTGTGCTCAAAGCAAGCAACTGTAGAGGGGCTTTACTTGGGGGTCTCCAGTCTGCTAAGGTAATGCTGGAATTCCCACAGTCCATTTAATCACAAACTCTCAACCCCCTTTTAGCATGGTGTGGCCTGCTGCCTACTTCTCCAGCTGCCACAATGCTAAAGACAATTGATGGAATCCCACCCAGCAGATTAAAAATGATTTTCTGCTAATTTTCAGTGGAAATGAAAAAGAAATGGATGCGTTAAGCCTGGAATCCCAAAAATGTGTATATGTGTGAAAATCTTGCCCTGCCCTATCTGTAATGCTATCCTGTCCTCTTTGTTTCTTAGTGGCCCCAAAAAGAATAATTTTAAAAGAGGTGACTTTGGCTGCCAAAGGCTGCCCCTCCTTGCTGGGTGGGTGAGATCAGGTGTCTCTCAAAGCCAAAACAAACAGATCACAGGGTCGGCTTTCACACAATCCTTACCTTACGCCCAGTTTAGCAAATCACCATCGTGCCATTCACAGAACAGACAATATCCAGCATATCTTGATGATGCAGGAGAGGATGGCTTACATCACATCACCCACTTGGGTAACAGCTGGATTCCCATTGTACGGACTCAGAAGCAAGCCAACCCCAGTTTAGCCAAATTCAGGATGTTGTGTGAACTTGGTCATTATGTCGTAGCACGATGGGCGAGCAGACCTGTTGTTTTTGTAGTCTTCTATTGACAGCAGGGGTGTATGGGGGGTCCAGGGAGGGGTAGCACCTCTGGCAGAGGGGCCTGCCATGCTCCCCACTTTTGGTCCCCACCTGGTGCTTAGCTCTCACCTGTGGCTCCAAGTAGCTGTAACACGTGCAGCGGACACACCCTGGTGAACTGTCTCGGCAGACGGAACAAATCAGGTGAGGGTAGCTGATAGGTCTTCAACCCTCAGTGAGGTGAGGTACTTGTTTATCCCAGTGTGTGAAATCTGGCCCTGGCAGATGGAGTGAAGGAGACCGGTCAACGGTCCAGCGGTCAAGAAGGCAGGCCCAACAGTGTTGTGGAGCGCTAAGAGCACAAGAAGACACTTAGACGTCCTGGTCCTCCACTGCAGCGAGTGAGGTCTCCAACCATAACGATCGTCTGTACCACTGGATTAAGGTGTCTTCTGCCAAGAGAGGGGAATTGCCCCTGCGCAACGGCTGATCCGCTTAAAACTCCATCACACACCGGTTTCTGTGGGGCGATTCATCTCGGTCCAAATTTAGTTCGTTAAGTCCAGCAGCGATGGGGGAGTGGCGAAACAACAGGTGGAGATGACCACCGGCAGTTGTAGTCACGTGGGCAGCCCTTGTTCGTCCTGATCCCTGGGGCGGCAGAAATGTCCGGCAGCATCCAGAGCGACTGGGCAGCCCTTTTTAGGATAGCACTGCCTGCCCTCGCATGAGGGAGGGGGTTAGAAAAAGTACCCTACACGTTGCCTGCCCTACAACATCTGGCTAGCTGACCGCAGCTGGCGGAGCACCTCCTTAGTGATCGACATGTATCAAGAAAAACAAATCAAAGAAAAGTCATCTTTGGAGCCTGGAACGTCCGCACCTTGCTGGACAGAGACAAGACGTCAAGGCCTAAAAGATGAACGGCATTCATAGTGGCCAAACTTTGTTGTTACCGCATTGACATCGCTGCACTCAGTGAGATGAGGGTTCATTACAGAGCGATTTCTTTTGGAAAGGGGAACCACAGACTGACAGCAGGATTCACGGAGTAGGTTTTGCAATCAAAAGTGCTCTGCTGAAGAACATTTCTCTTTTACCCACTGGAATAAATGAACGTATTATGAAGTTCCTCTTTCCTCTCAGCAAGTCCTGGGATATCCCTATTGTCAGTGTCTATACACCAACTCTCTTGAGTCCAGACGAAGACAAGGAAGGCTTCTACGAGGACCTGGATCAGACTAGTTGGACAACCCCTGCCAGCAACAAACTCATCATTTGGGGCGAGCATCGCTAGGGTGGGGACAGGCAGTGGCAAGTGGGAGAGTCCTCCTTGAGAGACACAAGGTAGGAAAACTAAACAGTAACGGCCTGCTGCTTCTGAGCAAGGGTGCTGAGCACAACCTGTGCATCACTAACTTGATGTTCAGATTGCAAACAAGTACAAAACCACCTGGGTGTATCCCAGTCCAAACACAGGCACCGACTCAACTATGTCATCGTACGCCAGCATGTCCTTAAAGATGTCACCATCGCCCAGGCCATCCGAGGCGCTGAGTGCTGGGCTGAACACAGGCTGGTTCAGTTGGTCTTCAACCTGCACACAGCCCCTTTACGATGTAAGCAACCAAGGACTGTCAGAATGTCATTCAACACCGGCAGACTGCAAGACCTCGGTCAAGGCCAACGTTTTCAAAATAGACTTAACGAAAAACGCTCCAGCAACTTATCGCTTGTGGGAACCTGTTCTGAAAAGTGGATGCAGTTTAAAGATGTCATCACGCAGACCCCAACAATTGTACTTGCACTGAAACCAGGGGTGCATCAAGGCTGGTTTGATGAAAATCATGAGACCATTGATACGAGACCATATGATTCTATGATTTCAGCAGCCCTCCAGCCCAAGAACAAGGCCTATGCAAATTGGCAGAATGACTCATCATCAGCCTCAAAGAAAGACAAGTTTGGACACCTGCAGTCCAAAACACAGGCGGAACTGTGAGAAACGCAGGACGAGGGGTGGCCGAGAAAGGCTGAGCAGGTGGAATGCTATGGAGACATGCCAACAGAGAGTTCTTCAGCACCATAAAGTCAGTTTATGGTCCTTCTAAATCAGGACGCTCCCCCTTGCTGTCATTTGATGGGTCGAGCCCGATCAAAGACAAGGAAGGACTGAAAAACCGCTGGACTGAACACTTTTCCAACCTACTCAATGGGCCATCCACCGTTGATCATGATGTCTTACAGCAGATTCCTATATATGTAGTCCTTCAGGTTCAAAGAAGATACGCCGTTGTGCAGTTCATCTGTGAACACGGAGGTGGCTCTGCAGTCCCAGTCTGGAAGCACAGAGTCTAGCACCATGGGGGCACTGGAAGTCATTGCTACAATAACTGTGGGTGTTATTCTATGATGCTGCTCACAATTTTCCATCAGTTTTTGGCGGCACCTGTCTTCAAAGCTGATGCAGGCTTCTAGGACAGCACTCCCCAGGGGGTTCTGTAGTAGTCACAGCTTCTAGTTCTGTTGCTCCCTTGGCTGGATGTCACAGTGGCGTAGGGTACATATATATTGACAGCAAGATGAGGCCTTAAGAGAGACAAGGCCAGATTCTGGGTTCCAGAGTTACCATGCAAAAGAGAGAGAGAAATGCCGATCCCTGGTCCCTGATCCATTCTACTGTTTCTCAGGCTGGGGTTAGCCTGAGCTTGTATCTTTCTACCTATTCATCTATCTATCCATCCATCCATCCATCCATCCATCCATCCATCCATCCATCCATCCATC